CCAAAGAATACCTTTAAACCTGCTTTAAAAATGTCCAGCGGGAATCAGTGACTTCAGCCAAAAGTGGTCGGATTCGTTCTCAGCCCACTTTATCGTAGAACAGCTAGCCTTTCACATGAAACGTAATCCCCACAATTTCCGACAACCCCAGAACAATTCAGCCAACATTAAACAAGCATTAAACCCAATTCTTCACCCCTTCACCCTGAAACCGAAGAGATTAAATTAGCGTCGGTGTTGGCGGGTGCGGGAATGTTTGCCTGTAGCCCGCGGGGCAGAGTCCCGTCTACGTCGGTATATCACACCTGGCTGTGGGAACCCGGCCACCGCCCCTGGCCAGCACGCGCACGCCATTACACAAAAACTGCTCGTGAAAGTACTACACTACAACTAAACACTAATCCTGTTCTTGCTTCTCGTGTTTGGCTCGTGAGAACCTCGTCCAGATAATACCTTGTTGCGAACGGAGTCCCACAAGGATCTGTTCTGGGGCTTGTGTTTTTTATAATTGTGGTTCCAGGACATGTTGGTTGCAGTTTCTGTCAATTTTATATAGTTTAAACCACAATATTAGATTGCCAAGGAAAAAGCTCCGGAATGACAATATTGTAACATGCCAGTGTCCTACTGTATCTCACAAGGCTCTGCACAAAGACTTTTATGATTTATCTATAAATATTAAAGGAACTACACTATACACTATTAACCAACCCTGTTCTCGATTCTAATGTTTTGCTCATCTACATAATGTTCCTAATGGGATGCCACCAGGATCCCTTGTGGAAAAAGTTTTTCCTATGAGTGGTTTCAGGAAATAAGGATGATCGCAGTACGGACTATTGTTCCTACAATAGTACAATGTGGTCGATATTTCAGTTAAACATTCAACCACAGTAAAATTTTAAACAAGAGACAAAACATTTTGAATTATTCGTTTGCCTCGTATGGTTCCCCTCGTTTAACTTTGATTGCTCTTTGTAATAAAGTTTAAGAAAGTGCGTATAACTCAATTAGGTACACTATAATCATAGACAAATAGAATTAAATTTAGACTGTCAGCCATGCTTCGGTTAGCATAGGTTCTGGCGCACACCGCTGGAAGCGCCATGTAGTTACGGCTTACATGCGCTACGTAACTACACGGCGTTCCCAGCGGTTTGTGCCAGAACCTATGGTAACCATGGTAACAACAGCACGGCTGACAGTTTATATTTAATGTTTTTTGTCTATGCTATAATCCACCTAACTGATTGAATTGGATTAGCTTCTAATATATTTCAACAGTATTTAATTAAAAAAAAATTGCATCATGCATTGATCGGTTAATAATTTGGGAGAAGACATTGTTAAAATTAATTTCTACTGTGTAAAAAAACGTTACATTACTATTTCTTACACAATCAAAAATAAGCATTATAGTTAAGATGTCCATTGTATCATTTTTAGGATCCACAGTTCTTTTCTCCTAGCCTCCTTTCAAGCTTAGGCTTATATTCATTAGCCTAGCTTAAGAACATAGCTCATTTAATCAAAATCAGCAAGCTCGTGATAAAATTGTGGATGTATTTCATTTGTCATATTCGTAGAGCTATCATACTAGTTTGGTTATACCAAGGATACGATTCTGTAATAGAGGAAATAACGTGATACAATTTTGGTCCATATGAAATGCTAATAAAAAATCTAGCAAATTTATCCAATCTTTATATTTTTATTACAAATTTCAATTGTACTCATAATCATAACACACACCTCAGCAAACCTTAAACATCAACATAATTACTTCAGAATGATATGATTCATGTCAGCAGATTATCTTTCGTCACTAGTCGTTAATGTTCATCCCGTGTACATCGGTAGGCAGGGTTTAATTTGAGATAGGGAAATTCCGAGGTAAACATCTGGCTAGCAATTGGCAGCCCTGATAAACCGCTCAGCTGACACGGTTCTCATTTTAGCGTTATCAGCTGTGACACGGTCTGCGAAGTGTCTATGCTTCTCAGATGAGGCGTGCAGGGGTTGACAGTTTACCGCCAAAACACAGAAATCACCCTCCCTTTTTAACACCGCAGTTCACACTTCGGGCTAATGAGTTGGACCTTAGTCTTTCTGGAACTCTTCAAAAATCGGAGGCAAAAAGCATTCGGAGACGCGGTTAATATTTGGGTTTTTAGGTATGTTTTCATAACCGATCTAGAAAGTGTCAGGGGACATTTGTTTTCCCGGGGTGATTTATTTGTACTAATTAAAGTCGTGGAACGCAGATGTCACTTTTGATTTTCACAGGTGGTTAAAACATGAATAGGGAAAAAAGCTGCCTGGGGGGGGATTCAGGAATTCACTGAATGGAGTACACACTGTCAGTTACACATTTATTCATTAGACTGGATTAATAAACTAAAACATAGTTCATAAGAAAATCCGCAAGCGTTTAATAAATTGTGTCTTTAACTAGTTTTTTTTTAGACTGAGCTGCAATACCAGTTTGTAGCATATTGAAAATAAATCTCCTTGCTTATAACATAGGCTACACAATGTTAATTTTTGTACACGTCACATTCCCACACTGTAAGTGTGGCACTGTAATCTGTGTGATCTGGCACTGTAAGTGATTTCACTGGATGGTCTGAAATAATATAAAACACAACTTCTCTACCCGTCGTCGATGTTCACTTTTAACTATACTTCTCAAAGTGATCAAACCACTTGGAATATATTTATTTGTATGCCATCTTATGGAGATAAAATTTAATATTTATGTGATAATATGAACACATATTTATGACTGCCCTGGTCGCTGAACAAGTATTTCTAATGGATCCAATCAGAGCATTGCCCGAATAACCATATCAGATTTCATATTATCCTTGAGGAATATTTGGAACATTTGCAATATTTTGGGAACCTGATACGGGTACCCGTATTATCAATATGTATCATAGGATTTCTTCCATATCGATTGGTTGTGTGTAAAGCGTGCAATTATCACGCAGATTGGGTTAAATAGCGATTACACTTACACTGGACAGAAGAGAACGGATAGTAAAATATTGTTATAATTAAAACACCGTCGCCTGAATTTGAACCAGCAATCAGGTAGACCAATTGTAAGTAGGTTATTCAGATATATCTCATCTAGACTAGAAAGGAGTTTCTTTCCCTAATTTAATCATTCTAGCCACTCAAGGGCTCAATGCCAGGGAACGTATGTCAGGGAATATAAGGGCTGCAATTATAAGGGTTGTAATATTAAGGGCTCCTATATTAAAGGGTGATGTGCTAACGTATATTACACTATTTTCTGGTAAGTTAATTACATCTTTGATAATTGCCGGTGTGTTAATGGGTATTATTGTAAGGGCAGTGTGTTAAGGTATTCTATATAAAGGGATATAACTATTATAGGTGGTTTTATATACAGTTTTGTTAACTGTAAATATACGCTAAATTCTTTTTAAATCATGATTCATATGATAATGTGAGTTACTACGAATAGCAACTTGAACTACTTATATTTTACTACAAACTCCCCCCTTAACACTAATCTAAATATTCTGAGAGATAAATATGCAAAGCTACCGACGATTTCATCAAGGAAATCAATTAACTATTGTTCACTCCGAGGACTCAGGCCAAGTAAATCATTCAGGGGTAATGGATGCGGCGCGCACGGACGTCTGATTAGGCAGATAGGCAGATGTAGCAGGCAGCAGGCAGCAGGCAGCAGGCAGATGTTGTGTGCGTGCTGCGTGTGCTCTCCTAGGTGGTGGTTAGCTACCGGCGTAGCAGGTGGGTTTCCGGACTACAACCACATATCACAACCGATCATTACCGCTACCGGTCTAGGTTGTCTAGACTGCCAACTGGGACTGGAAGTGGACCAGAAGTGACTTGGCACAGTTCAGTGCAGAGATTCAGTCATAGGGGTAGTCCACTGAGGCTATTCCAGAGCAAAGCCTTGGCTTTAGCCTTCAGAGAAATGTCTGCAATTGCAGAGATACGGCCATTGAGGCCAGACTCCCATTGGTCAGCAAAATTATAATTTTTCGGCAAGTAACCAGGTGACTGAGGCTGTTCATGGGCTTTGGCTCTTTTCAGTCTTCAAAGAATTACTACAAATCGAAAGATTTAGTCATTGGAACCGCAATACCATAGTTTCAGAAAATTTGTGACTGTTTAGTAGATGTAGACTCATTGCACTTTTACTGGAGAGTAGGCTCTCTGAATAGTTCATCAGAGTATTATAATTGTAAGTGAGTAAGTTATCTTAGTCATAAGTTAAGCATTTACTATAATTTACTTGGAGCTAAAGCCGTGATGTATAATGGTCAAGCGTCAATTAATCCGGTTCATATCCTTTTGTGCTATAGGCCTAACGCAATGTACCGATGGGTTAGGTCAGGCAGAGCTACAGCTATCCCTGAAATCATCGACTGGAAAGGATTCAGGTTGTAGTTTCAAGAGCTCCAGAGTGAGGTTGGATACATTATTGGGTCGCAAACTACATGTCCGCACTCTTCAACTTGTCGTTGGTTGTTTATGGTAACACACAGTTCGATATCATTAGAAAACTGCCCTATGAATAAATGCTGTAGAATCTATAATTGCAATTAGTTATTATCTGAGGATAAATTGCAGATATTTGAAATTTCTTCTGAGATAAAATTTAATTTGAACAATTTGAGCCTTACTACTATTAATATTCAAATTATATGCTAATAGACTATCAATGAACATTTTATTATTTTTTATTAAATCTTTAACAGGATTATTAATATTAATCAAGTCAAAAAATATTCCTTTTCACTTCATTAGTAATGAACAATAAATTATGTTAACATTTAAACTAGGCTACTTGTATAAATATGTTGTCATAAGTATGACAACTCTCGTCAAACTTATCTAAATTTGTTAAAAATCACGTCAGCCTATTTTTTGAACACCCCTACTTTAAATAAAGTGTTATAATGATAGTAAATTGGTTAATGAAAACAATCATATCACTTGGAATAAATAACATTAATTTTATTTACAATATGATATTTTTACATTTACAATAAAATCTTATATCAACAACATATTACAAATAATACACCATAAATAGTTAATTACATGCATACATAGGAATATTCCATTAACATACAAGCTATTTACAAAGCCAAAAATGTTTTTGGTAAAAAAGAGATCAGCCTAACCTGACAGGAACTTAAAATTAATTAATTCAAACTCGGACATAAAATACGATATTGATTGGGAAGTATTTCACTGGCCCACAGACTATGTGCTAATAATACTGTTAAATGCATAACGTAACATATAAACTATTAAAAAAATATAAACAATGTGACTGCCCTTTAGTTTGTATGTCTACAATAAAACGAAATGCATTTGTATCCACTAAACGGAACAAAGTGAAAATTGTTTGAAAACTTGACAAACTATATCCATACATTATTTAGAGCAAAGATATACCAACGTGAAACACTTAAAAAATATATTAAACAATTAAACCCCACTTTGGGAGATGAATCAGCCTACCACTCTTAACTTTGTACTGCAACATTTAGGAAGTTGAAAACAACAACAACTTTGGTGGTTAAGACTAGAGGAGGAGCTAGCACATGAAGCTCCTTATCTTCGGGACATGATCTCGTCGATGGTGAAGCCTAGCCTTGGAGGCGGCGCGGGGGCAGATAGATCTAGAGCGGGGGCAGCAGCGGGGGCGGCGTGGCTCAGCAGGTGGGTCTTGAGGTTGGACCGCTGATTGAAGCTGCGGCTACAGACAGGACACTTGTGAGGAGACTCCTCCAGGTGGAGGATCTTGTGTACCGCCAGAGTACGCGACTGACAGAACCCCTTGCCGCACTCTCCGCACTTGAACGGCTTCTCCTTGCTGTGGATGTACCTGCAAAACACAGTAAAGGTTAGGGAATTGTCTAGGAGGTTTTTTAAAAACTTGTAAGATTCTTTAAAGAATCAGATAAAGTTTTTAAAAGTCGAAAATTGTTAATGATTCAGTTAAAGAGGCATTGGAAACCGTGTGCCCCATCTTTCCACCGAAAGTAATACTGATGTTGTTGAGCATTTTACCCTAGTTGTAAATAAGATAAGATTCAATTAATTTATTCAGATAAGAAATAATTGTTTAAACACATTATGTTTGTTTGAAATCAACTGAAATGACAATAATTACGCCAAGAGTTTGTAAATTGCGTGTGTATGTTAGATCATGATTCTCACCTGTGGTCTCTGAGATGGTCCTGACGACGGAACGCCTTGCCGCAGATGTCACACGAGTAAGGCCGCTCGTCCGTGTGAGTGCGCTCGTGGATCAGCAGGTTGTACGACTTGGTAAACTGTCTGTTGCAGAACTTGCAGATGAACTGCTTCTTGGGCCTGGTGGACACGCCGAGCCTGGTGTGGGCGAGAGGTGCCCGAGGAGGAGGCCGACGTGGAGGTGGGTAAGGGTAACAGCGCCGAGGGTCAGGGTAGAGTGCGGTCCGGAGCCACTGGTTGACCAGCCACTGGGGGTACATCAGCAAGGGGATGTTCGGCTGGTCCGGAGCCTGGGGTCGCTGTAGAGGGGTGAACGCCGAGTCGGAGCTGCAGCACCACCCTCCGGACGGCAGCACTGGGGTGTGTGTCGTGGCGGGGGTGTCACTGCTACAGTCGCTGCGCTCGTCGTCGTCCACGATGACCTCCTCGTCCTCAGGGTCGCTGAAGGAGAACCTCGGTCGTGGCGGGGAGGTGGGAGTGTGTGGTGGAGTCAGCAGAGGACTGTGACTGTGGCTCTCGTCCTTGTATCCTGTAACACACAGAGTTATGAAGTACGTCTGCAGGCAGTTACTAAACGTTACGCTTCTGTTTTTAATAACAGAAACGTATAAATTAAATAAAGTATGCATATTATATGTATCACTTAATTTGATTCCTTCGATACCTTTTATAGAGCATGTTGAAGCCAAGTTGCTTCTATTATTACGTGTTTTATTATTGAACATAAGTTCAAGAGCTATACACGAATTTGAGTAGTTAACCCGGTAGTTGACAATTAGTTTTTATGGCGATTTAATTCCTTTAAGGTCTGCATGTGCTTTGTTATGTTTAAATATGCTGTATTTATATTGTAAATATACTGTATACTAGTTCGCTACTATATACTGACGTGTGTGTTATACAGTATTACAGATTAAGTTAATATAAACAACGCTACAACCAAATTTAAAAACTCAAACACGAATATGTTATTTCTAGTCATGAAATTGTTATTTCCAATCTCGTAAGGACAAAATCATTCTCTCTCTAGTTAATCCAAATTTAATCCGAGCTTCTAACTCGGTGTCAAATAGTTTATTCAAATCAGCCACCTAGACCACACAAAGACCTAAACCACTTCTACCTCACTTCACTTATCCGGACGGATCTGAGCCGTTTACGGATGTTCGAGGGATAAGACTCCGTAATGCGACGGCGATTGCCCCATTTGAACTTATCAGAGGTCATTTTATATCAAGAGTATTATCAGACTGTATAGTTCAAGGATTATAACTTAACAAAGGTATTCTAGTATTATAATGAAATGCGCAATCTTTTTTTATTTACGGTAATGTGACTATTTTTGCAATATGGACACTCATAAGAATACCTGGATTCGAGACAGTGAAATACATAGTAGATAGAGCTAAATGATCAATTAAATTATCAGTCCTACACATGTTAAAGGTTTATATAGGCTTTAATACAGCAAAAATAATAGTCAATTCCTAAGACTTATAAATGTTTAAATGATAGGCTAGTCGTTTTATAAATATAAAATATTGATATGTGTCCGACGTCATCTTTGTATCAGTTTAAATCAATGTTTTTTTAGTTGCAATTTATTATTTTTACGTTTTAGTTTATCCGTGGGGTTTCTCACATACCAACAATTACTAGTGATTTATGTTGTATTTAAACTAAATCAAGGCAAACAAATAGTAAAGAGCGAAAAAAAACGTTCAAATAATATTTAATGTGAAGCACATCATAGTAAAGAAATAACTCTTGTACCTCAAACCTGAAGGCATCAATTTTCAACATAACTCATATTTTCAAAGCCAAGTATAGATAGTGGTTTTTGAGCCAAGTCGAAGCTCTTTAATTGTTTATGCAACTACATACCTTAAACTTAAACAATTCTACTAGGGCCGCATGGCACAATAAAACATCGTTGTTTGAGGAAACGAAGGAAGGGTCGGTGCAAGACCGGTTTTGAGTTTCAGTTACAAATGAAGTGCGGCCCGTGCCCGGCTCCGGTCGGACAAAAAATTGGCCCGAGGCTTCCCAGAAAGCACGACTCTTGTCTTCTGTGGGTGAAAGTTGTAAACTTTGCCGTCCAACGGGTATGGCTATGTTGAAAAATAATTGTTACAAGGAGAGATATCTTTACATGAGCCTCTAACATGAATGTTTAAAAAAAGTGTTTAATAGTGTGGGACTGTGTTAGCGATAGTTCGTATCTGCCAAAGGGTCTGATGAGAAAGAAAAAACCTTGGATTGTTGCTAGAAAGAGAAGTACAACGCTTGCGGATTTATAAACATTTTATTATTAATTTGTCACTTATCTTTAGTGAAAAACATCATAGAATTTCACACGCAATAAAACTCAAAAAGTGGGCAACTTCCTATCGTATATGATCAATTTTAACTATATATTATCACCATAAATATTATAGTTGATTGCGTATACTATACTTTGTTTGCCAACGCATTGATCGCATTTCCATGGGGATATTTATGTTTTATATTTTGTAAATATTATAACTAAAGGAATTAATGTATTTATTTAATCTATAACTGCCCTTATATTAGATAAACGGCTAATAATTTATTTAAAAACATTATTGAGAAATTAGTAACACAAACAAATTGTCTGTTTATAGATTATGTTACCTTGAAGTACTCAATTATAAATGAAAACGTAGTCAATATTTAAACTCCTCTATGCATCGACAATATCATTCCATTTTCAACAGAGATATCTATCATGTCACTTATTATTTGTAATTTGTTAACTTAGAAGAACCACCCAATCAGTAAAGCCTTTCCCTCCTTGAGATAAAGCGATTCAAGTGGGAAACTAACTGTTCACTCCTTGTACTTGAACAGATAACTGGATGGAATTAACTTTATGGTTAGTATCAACCGAAATTGCATTCACTATCAAAATATCAATGTTACATTGTTGTAATGGGGATAAGTAGACATACATTTTACATTTAGAATAAACCTACAACCTAAATGGTCCGGGTTTAGTAGTATTTTACTAAGAGTTTTAAGAGATGGTTATAAACTAAATAAATAATAAATTGTATGTTCAGTCGAGTGATTATTCGAGCATTCAAATCTGGTCAAATACTTTCAAGGTCGCTGGTTCGATCCGTGGCCAGTTTCATTCTGGACCCATCACCAATAAAAAAATTATATTATCAAACGAGCTAATTGAACAAGGTTGGATACAAGTACAAACATCATTGTTTGGATCGTTCTGTTGCAAAAGACGTACCTCATAAGTGACAAAAAGCGCTTAGCGCATAAAAAAACATTATGAAAAAAATACCGAATCAAAAAGATATCAATCAAAAGGTAACCTGGGCAACATTACACATATGCGGGCATTATTTGGATGCAATTTGATAGTGAATCTTCTTGAATAAGTGTCAACTACACGATCATGGTCACATCATAAGTAAATGTAAAAACGCTAAAATGGTTGCGCATCAACCAAATTTTAATTGTGCAATCGTTTAGGATAAAAAACGTAAAAATAGAATAAACTACAGTACTACAGTTTAAAAATGAATCAGTTTCTTACCTGTATGTGTAGGTGGTGGTGGTGTAAGGGGGGTGCACGAACTTGCCATGACGCGGTGAAAACTACAAACAAACTACAACCTCAGAACATGCACAAAAATAGACAACTAGACGTGTGAACTAGAGGACTGTGCGCGCAGTTGTGAGCTCCAGCCCGTGCAGAGGGCCGAACCAGGGGCGAGCATGCGCTGAGAGGGCGGAGCTAGTGAATCCGACGTTGCTATTGGTCCGAAATAATCGCCCGAGAGCATGAAGGCGGCATCTGTTCTACACCGCCTCCTCGCCGAGGTTTAGAAACACTAGCTAATTTATTTGGGGTGAAATGTACACAAAGAGAATGTCACTCGTGGATATATAGACCGTGACAAAATATTTAGCCAGAGCTCGACCGCAGCAAGCGGGTTCTCGGAGGCTTTTTGTGTTTGGTTTTGTTTGGACGGAAACAATTGGATGTGGTGACCCGTGTCGTGTGAACACTTGTGGATGGTCATCTGATTGTTGTTAATTGATGATATGATACACACAGAGCAAAGTAGCACGTAGCTCAAACCAGTTACAAAGTTGAGATGATCTTGGCTATCAAGTTGTTGCAAATTTATGATTAGATAGAAGAGAAGAAGCGCCGAAATCTCTAGTAGCAGTTGCAGCAGCTCAAACAATCAGTACAGAAGAATCTTGGTATAATCATTTTCAATGATAATGGAGAGAAGATGTCAGAGTTCTGCCACGTATGGATTCTAGATCTATTCTATGGCACGTAGCTCAAACCAGTTACAAAGTTGAGATGATCTTGGCTATCGGGTTGTTGTAAATTTATGATCAGAAGAGAAGAAGCGCCTAAATCTCGAAAGTAGCAGTCTCAGTAGCTCAAACAATCAGTACAGAAGTTACAACGATCTTGGTATAATCATTGTCAATTGATTGTCTGGAGAGAAGATGTGCAGTGTTCTGCTACGTATGGATTCTAGATCTATTCTATGGCACGTAGCTCAAACATTCAATAGGGAAGTTGTGGTAATGTAATTTTGGTCTATATTGATCCATTATCGGGATATACACAGGGTTCTATTTCTATTACGTAGCACATAGCACATAAAATGGCTAAAACAATGTGTTGTAAGGTTTTGGTATTTGTGTTCGGAATAAAGATACCACGCGTTAAGTTTCTAAGCCACACGAGCTATATGTGTACGTTTGTCTATTGTACACTGTCGAGATTTTGCACTGATCATCTGAATAGAGGATACCATGGACTGAACATCAAAGTCAACGAGAATATAATATGCACAAGTTACCTAACCTAATTATATACATATCTAAACTATGTCTATACAGTGTGTTTCCAAATTGTCTGGACATATTTTGTGGACTTGTTCCTTGAGCTAAGACAAACATAAAATTCCATATAAGTATGGGTCCAAAATGCCTAGATTTCTGTTTGTCGGTCTGTTTGTGATTTTTAAGAATTATTTTAAATCTTGGGCATTTTTCAAGATATAAATTTCAAAATGATAATAAATGTGTATTTTAGTAGGTAAAAGAGCTTACAAAGTTTCCTTCCAACATCCCAAGCCGTTTCAATATGGGGGCCATTTAAAATATTTAATGCTAAATTTCGCAAAAACCGTAAATATTAAGAAAATATTTTTATGGATTAAATAAGATAGAGAATTTAAATCCAAATCAAATGAGACCTTGTTTGTTAAAATCGTACGACAAATAATCGAGTTATCAGTTTTTTTCTACATTCGGCTACGCAATTTAATAGAACTTCCATATTGTTTATTATTTTTTATTTTACACAGCAGTATCATGGTATTATGCTAAATAATACATAATATAAAATAGGCGCTGATGCACATAACATACTTTAACTAGCTAAGTTATATGATTTTATTTTTAAAAGATACAATTACTTACACGTTCTTTTAGATGAAAACACTACCGGTATTTAAATAAAATTCAACGTTTTCGATGTCAATATTTCCCAAATATCATTACAGTTCGAAAACTGATCCTTGAGGAACACCTGCTCATATTTTGCATATGGTTACCTTTACCTTAACCAACTGACCTGTACAAGACCTACCATACACGAAACGATTATTTTAAAAGTACAGTACTTGCACAGACTACAGGTGGAATTGACAAAAGAGGGCGTTGCTTGTATGATAATGCCTCTCACCCTGAGCAGGGACGGAGAGGAGGGCTGCTGGTATTATTATGGCACTGTATGATGGCACCCACAGTAGACTGCCATTGTGGACATATGACGTATGCCATTCTGTTATGTATATTTACCTACGACCGTTTTTTAAAGTAGCCATTTCAGTTCAGTTCTTAGAATTGAAAAGTTTCACTTAACAGCTGTTTACTTTCATATCAGCATAGTTTCATTTCATATCAGCATAGTTTTTCTCATATCAACACAGGTAACGGACCAATGAGGTTCAAGTATTGAGAGAAAAGAATTAAAATTGTAATCCTTCAAACGTCAACTAATCAGCTGATCAGTTGACCAATGTAATTGTTGATCCGACTTGTTCATGTTGATACTCGCGTATTCTTAATTAAGTTGGTGGAAGTTAAAGCAAGGCAGATTACCCGATATTTGCCGAATTGTACCTGATACAATATTATTTATGGTAAGAATGCTGCTAGCAATGTAATATTTAACGAAATTTAACAAACACGTAATTACAGGAAATCAACTGATTATACAACAAGTTGTTGCATCACTTTCAGTGGCAAATTACAATACACGAAAACATAACCTCTCTAAAAAGTTATCAGTAGTGATTGTTAGTAATTAAATCCAGATTGATAGTAATTAAAAAACGATCGTAGGTGTACGCAACTCGCGTTAATAGTCTTTACGACACTCGTAGAAGTTTTTAAGGCACTCGCCAAGGCTCGTGCCTTAAATTTTCTACTCGTGTCGTAAAGACTCACTTAACGCAATCGTTGAGTAAACTACTATATTGATTGATAGGAAACTATTTTACGATACTTCACATCACGTTTGAAGTGAAAATAGCTTGAAAGATTGTTCTAAAAAGGCGGTGTAAAGGAGAAACTCATAAAGAAATTTTCATTTATTTATTCGTTTATTTGAGAAGGAATGGGTGACAGCGTTAGAATCAGAGTTGGGACAAAAAATTACAAATAACACAACAATGGTCTTATTAAAGCTTCAAAACAATAGGATTTTATTTCAAAACTGATATTTTCAATAGTTTAGAAAATAAAACATGTTAATCGTGTAAATTAGCAACGTCGATTGCGGAATTTCCTCCGATGTTAGGAGTTGTAAACAATCGGCATCTGTGTATCACTTATCTTATCAGCTGCCTTTTACCTCTCTTGTACCCTTATCTGTGCCTATGTCACGTCCATAATCAGGTGACAAGAGTTGTAAAACTGCATGGCTCTAAAATGGGCGATAAGTAAATTAGGTAATCGGAAAGTAGATTTCAAAAGTTTCACAAATTTACAGAATCGAACAGGGGAATAATTATAGAATTATCTTGAAAGGAAGGTTTAAAGAGCTTTCTGTAAACTTGTATTATTAGTCGTGGCAAAACAAATCGTCTGTGTTGAGTTAAAGGTGATCTGTTATTAATGTAATTGATTAATTAGTGATGTTATCTACTGCTAATAAGTTATTAATTCATCAATTAATTGACGACGAGCGCTTAAAATCCAAATATTTACCTTAGATTGAGAAATCAACCTGTTATTCAGTGGAGATATTTTGATTAATTGCAAATAAATGTTTTGCATAAAACTCGGCAACGATCAATTCCTAAATTTATATTATTTTTCAACTAAAAATATTTATTTGTCTCTACGTGTTTGGTCTTTGGGGTGATGGTTACGGATCCCCGTCTGGTTTCTATAATGATGTGTTTTCAAACGTCATTATCTTCAACTAAAATCATAAACACCATTCTATTCACACAATATATGGGTTGATGAATGCAAACTACTGAACCATATAGTGTTTCCAATAAATTATGTATTTGTACAAAAAGCCCAACTAACCTTGCTTACGTGCTGTGAAATAATCGTCTGGATAAATAATTTAAACTCTATGACTGCATTCACGAATTCACGATAAGATTGACAAAAATCATATAAATTAAAAGGTATTTGTAGTAATTATTCTAATTCTGCAGAACACTCTTGCACTGACTTGCCATTTTGCACTTTTGCATCCTATACGAATTAATGATCAGTGTACAGCTTTGAATACAGTGGAAATGTTAGACTATACGTACAGGTGGAAAGGCAGCCATCGCTATCCCAACTTTATTGGCGTGGAAACAGATTTGTTTCCCAGCTCTGATCAATACACTTCCAAGCGTAGATTGGATGATTGAATGTGACATCAGTGTTATCCAATAGTATGAATTCCACCAAGGTCGATAGTGATCCTTTAGATTTATAGATAATGAATGCGTCTACTCCTTATCATAGACATAAGGAAATTCTTTATTGAGATTAGGCATTTTAAACGGTCTATTTAATAAAAAGTGGTGTACGAGGCAGCAGCTCTTAGAACTGGAGTCGAAATTCATAGAAACATGTATCGCAGAAATTAGGTAAATAGTGATGTCCCTTAAAGATATTTCAGAAAAATCCAACTTTACACAGTAGGAATCCGACTCATGTGTACGGTTACTTGACGACCATTTCTACTACAGACAATTTTACTGGTGAAATACAAACGTTTTGGATAGATCAAGCGCGAGGATGGTGACCCCGCGACAAATTAAGCCTAATCCGCTAAGTGTTTTACTGTGTCGCCACCCCGCGAGTGTTTGCACTGCAAATCCCACTGTTTGGGCGGCCATGTTGCCCTTTCATCTCACCGCCCACGCTATCAGCCGCGCCACAACTACAATCACAATCGTAAAATTCAGGTAGGCAGATAACGATAACAACTGTCAATACACGATACCGCGCCTTCTGGTTACGACGAGCCGCTCCGTGTAGTTGTACTACTGATAGGGCAACACCTGAGAGCGGCAATTAACTCGCTTGGCTGAGAACGTGAAATGATCAAGATGTACATGAGATAGCTGCGGTTGCAATCTGCTGCTCCGTCCTGAATGTGCCAATTAATTCTGATGGCTT